ATGATCTGTTCAGGTTTGTAAATTTGAAACTCTTTGGGGTCTGAAAACCCACATTAAGACATGTTTAGGCAATAGAAGTGAACAGTGAGACACAGGGCTTCCCACTTTGCCATACATGGAATCCTTCTGTAGCTTTTTTTTTTTCCCCCCCAGTAGAACGTGCAGCAAACAACCTATGGAAAGCTCTTGCTTTTCTCTGTTGTACTTTGGTCTCAGAGGTTTTTTTTGCTTAATGTAGCATGCTGAGAATCTGTGGCTGGACTAGTCGGATGTATTTGTCTATGTATGTACCCCCAGCCTCTCACACTGACCAACTTCCTTTGAAAAAGAGTGCCAGTTAATCAGAATCCTCTGGTAAAATTGATAATTTCAGCATTCATTCCCACTGCTTTAGTAGTTCATTGTTTTTCCCCTCCAAACTCTTCTGTGGACTGACTTCTGCAGCTGTGTAAAAAATGAGAGTTTAGTGGTTCTGTTTATTCTGTAGCCCAGCTATCATCTTGGTGGGCAGAATAAGGAGGAGATTTGTCTACTGGCTTCCTGGCTGATGTTCTGCGAGAATAATATACTATGTTCAGCCTTGATCTGGCACAAGGTGTCCTTTAACCAAGGCTGGGTTTCTTTTGCTTTTTTTATTTTGTTCTGTTTCTTTTTCATTTTGAAATGCTGACACTTACATAGTAGTTTTCCTTCCAGTTTGTTCCAGGAGTTGTCAGTGGCTTCGAAATCATGGCATGACCACAACGAAGCTCATCCTGTTCATAGTCTGTGAAGCACTTAATAAACTGGTGATATTTTGCAATGCTAAATAATACATATTTACCATGAAAATAGCAGACCTAATAATTTCTGAAAATGTACTGGTACAGCTTTGCCTCTCTGATACACTAAAATATATTTTGTGGTGTAAAATAAAAGTTTTCATTTCTTTGTTATACTAGTAAACTCACTTTTAGCCTTTTCACATGTAAATGTACTGTACCAGTTCTAACCAAGTGTAGCTCATATGTCTAACAGCATCATTGTTATTTTATAGGCAAAAGTATGCAGAAATTTCCCTGTGTGTTTCCATTTGGTCATTGGAATACATGACTTGGGAGAATCTTCTCCTCTATGTCAAATAGGCTGCCTGTTTTGGTCCTACAAAATACTGTATATGGGTAGTATGGCATTGTTGTATCTTGCGGACTGTGTTGGCTTTGTTCCTGTCTTCCATGGAATGCACAAACGGGATTTGGAAGGTGGTGCGCAGAAGTTTTTGTCATGTATTGGAAACTTCAGAGCCTCTTTAAACCTGCCAGCCAAGAGATTCGTATGTGTCAGCATTGGCTGTTCTGCTTGGAAGGTAAGTCAGGGGGCAGGACAAGTTGTTGGGAATGTAGCTGGTGGAGCACATTGGGCTGCACTGAGGTGGCCACTGTAGTGACCAGGCTCATCCTTTGTATCTGAGAGCAGACCAGCAGTAGGACGCTACTTTGAGCAGTGGTTAAGAAAATTCTTCATAGGTATTGCAGTCATAAAATTAGAGAACAAGGATCCCAACCTACATTAACGGTGCCATACTGTTTTTCTGTTGCTGGTGTCGTCTCTGTTGCTATAAAAATACAGCAGCACTGGGCAGTCCCCCCACTGCTGCCCAGTTGCCTCTCCACTTCCTTTGGATTCTGTTGTTTTGATTTCTGAGACAGTGTGACTCCCATTAGCAGACGCAGTAATTCATTCAGTGTAGGAGTTACTTACAGTACAGCTGTGCTGCTCTGATGATGCCATCTGCCATCCATGGGTAAAAGCCAGCTTCCCGCAGCCAGCGCATTGCAAGAGAAACTTATTCTTAAGGCACCCAGACATTCGCGCATAGAACGTGTACGCCTCATAAAACATAAGAGCAAAGTAAACTGGTGAGGTGTTGGGAATCACTTAGCTGAGACCTGTGTCTTGAAACTGTGGTGCTAGGATCTGGAATAATTATGTCTAATTGAGGTTGGAATCATCAGAAGCAACCCTGCTAGACAATTTTAATTTCCCCGCTTTTAGATTAACTACCTAATTCAGCTTTGTAAGGTACAGCCAGCCACATCTGGCTCGGCATAGCTAGAAGAGTGAAATTTTGAATTGCTATCTAAATATATTATACTTTAATTGCAGCAGGCTTAATTCATATTTGATGGGTGGTTTTTTTCATTATGGCTTAATCAAAAAGCTACTGGAACAAAATATTTGTGTGAATATGTCTATCTCAGATCTCTCCTGGCGTTTGCTATATTGCCTGTGTCAAATAAGGGTTCCCAACACTGTTAAATGGGTGCATCGTTGCCAGGGCCCAGGATCTGAGGCCCTAGATGTGTGCAGCACAGGCAAAGCTGTAGTTGTTATTTGCCATTTCCTGGGCTAGGTGAAGCTGATGAAATGAAAGCACCTGCTGATTAGTTCAGCCACTCAGTTTGTGCTACCTGGTGCGTTGAGTGGTGAAATCTTATTAGGACCAAAGGGCAGTGCCAGTCAGAATCATATATTACATCAGTCACAGATTAAAGCTGTTGATTGTTACATGCTTATCTTACAGTAGTGTGGAAGATCGTGTTCCAGAGGGTAGACCTCAAAGACCTCTTGAGCTATAGAAGTCGAGGGAGGAGATTAGACATAATCTAATGTGTGTAACAAGTCCTTAAATCTTGGTTGATCTAATAAATGGGAAAATAAATTTTGCCTAAGTCTGTGTTTCAGAGAAAGCTACTGAATGTTTTTAATCAAACTGTTTGTAAAGTCTTGTTTCGATTGATTCTTTATTTAAAAAGAAAATAAACAATTTTAAGAAAGTTTTATCTCCTTTTCCACAGTTAGTGAGGGTACTGATACTTTTCCTCAGTTTGGCAATGCTTACTTGTCATTTCGTGTCAGCCAGTGCTAGTCGAGCTGAATTGAAATAGACGTGAAAATTTTGTCTGAGAAGAGCTTATTGATGAGCTTTGCTATAAATACTGCTTATTTGAATGCACTTCTAGCTTCTTAGCAATGAAATTTACATTGGCCACTTTCCTCTTATTTTGAAGTTAATCTACCCCATTCACAGTATGCACAAGGACCACGGTCCCTGAAGTGGAGAAAGACTATGTTCCTGCACTATAGTCCTTTTCCAATATATAGCAATTGCACAGTGTTCCCAGTGGAGTGAGGATCTGTTTGTGGAAAGAAATTGGCATGGAGAGTAGGGAGTGGCGATTCAACTGGAGCCTGATTTAGGTACATTGCAGACAAAAGTTGGATTTCTTCCAAAGCATAAGTTTCTTTGCTATTGCTGGCGGCAGCATGCTGGAGCTGATTGACCAAAAATCTTGTCTGATATGGTAACTCCTTCGGGGTTTGTTTATAATATTGAATAATAGTCTTGAAACTTGAGTGAGAACAGCATCAGTTTACAGTGATGATTTATATAATTGATAAATAGCAGCTATTTCCCATCTGCCACTTATATCAGCCCAGAACCCATATGCAACTTAGAGTTGGTTGAGTGGACTAACTTGCTCTTAATATTTTTGCAGTAGCAAGCAACTGTGTGTTCCATTTTGGCTTCAGGTTTGTTTTTTTTCTCCAGATGTGGTTCTTGTCACTTCTGTGAGAAAAAAGGAAAAAACACTAAAAAGGTAGACACTGAGTGTGTGAGCTGAGTTGATGACTTCTACAGGACTGTTCATCTTCCAAAGCAAATGCCTGTGTTTCCCCAAGCGGGGAAGAAGGGGCCAAATGAGGCTCCTGTTTCCAGCAGCCAGGCAGTTGCAGAGCCTTGGTGTCCCTTTTGCCAGTAAGATTCAAATTCCTACAAAATTCATGTGGGATGGGGGGACTATTGAGGTCACTTGCACCCGGGTGATTCTAAGACGGCAATTCAGCTGTTACGGAACAGCTGTTGCGAATCTGAAAACAGCTTAAGGGTGTCAGACCATTAATTTCCACAGACTGTTTTTGAGTTCCTCAGTTCAGTGAGCTAGCTTATACTCAGAGAATGCCTATTTCTGAGGAACTCTGTCTTGGGCATTACAAGCCAACCTACTCTTCCTGGAGTTCTGTACCATTTCCAGAACTAATTAGGCACTCCATCTCAGTAATGCGATTACAGTGGCTCAGGATTAAGGGAAGAAGCATAGATGAATCCCTATCAGAAAGTCAGCCATGACACACAACACCCTGGGATAACTGGTAGATGAGCTCAGCTGACTTTGAAGTTGTGACTCAGATGCCTTACCCCAGTGGTCATTTCAAAGAAAACTGATCCCTTGTAGTCACCTGGTAACAGTCTTCAAATACGAACAGCAGTCCAGCTTACTCCAAGTGTATCTTGATGTCATTGTGGATATACTGGGTAGTTAAAGACTGTTGATTTCAGCAAGCATACATGGACGTATGAAGCACTTACAGAGATAATTTGGAGTTATATTTAACCGGAGTGGAGATAATTAAAGTGTGTCTATATTTATGTATATAAAGTTTTTAAAAAGCAATGTATTATTCAGTCTACAAGGCATTCAGCCTGCACTGCTAGTGTTAGCTATTCTTCAGCTGCCCAGAGCCTGACTAAGTCTGGTGGTCTCTATTTGAGTAGCATCAACTAAAATAGAATTGCTGTGCTGGCTAACTTTTATAATAGATTTGTGTGAGAAATAGGAAGGAACAAAAACTCTGCTTAACAAAAAAAACGTGCTTAATTGCAGAAACACAAGGGACAAAGTACTGTTTTTCATGCGAAAATATTGTAGTATGTCAGCATGTTGGCACTGGTAGTGAATAAGTTATTTAAAATATACATCCCAGAAATAGAAAATAGGCTAAGATATGGTATTTCAGACTGGGAACCTATCTTGGATGGTCAAAAAAGGGCACAAAATGATACTGTGTAGTTAGAATTTTGGACTGTAATGAGCAGGGCAACAAAGCTGGTGAGTGGTTTGGAGGATAGGTCTTATGAGGAACGACTGAGGGAACTGGGGTTGTTTAGCCTGGAGAAGAGGAGGCTGAGGGGAGACCTTGTCACTCTCTACAACTACCTGAAAGAAGGTTGTAGAGAGGTGGGGGCTGACCTCTTCTCCCTAGTGACAAGTGATAGGACGAGAGGAAATGGATTCAAGTTATGTCAGGGAAGGTCTAGATCGGATATTTGGAAAATTTTTTTCACTGAAAGGGTTATTAAACATTGGAATAGGCTGCCCAGGGAGGTGGTGGATTTGCCATCCCTGGAGGCCTTTAAAAAAAGGGTAGATGGGGACGTGGTTTAGAAGTGTTTTTTGCAGGTTAGATTAATGGTTGGACTTGATGATCTTAAAGGTCCCTTCCAACCTCAACAATTCTATGATTCTAAGTGAATAAAAAATGACTGTGGACTCTTTCTGTAGGCAGCTGTTAAGCGAGTAAGTTTTTTACCACTTCAAAATTTTTGACTAGCAAAACAGCACACTATAGTAATAAGAGTTGCAATGTCCACCTTATGCATGAATGAATGTATAGATATGTTTTAAAGGTATGTCTGAGGCTGGTGTTGCACTGTCCTCATTAATGATCTTTCAAAGCTAAGTGAAAGCATCATTACAGAGGTTAAATCATTCTCTAAACAGCACAAAGGTAAGAAGAAGGAGTTTTCAGTTTAGGAGGTTTTGTGTTGGTGATGGATTTAAAAGGCTGCTTTGTAAAGAGAGCACCAAACTGTTTAAGTTCTTGGGTATGGTTTTGAAATCTCTGTAGACTTAAAAGCCCTTTTCTACTGTGTCTGACTGCTTTCCAAGCTAGCATAAATACCTTTTCATAACCAACCTTGCTGAAACACGAGGCTTAAAGTTACTTGTGGAATTAATTCTGTAATATTTGTATAGTGTATTACTGCTCTTAAGAAAGAAAATAATAACTAGGGAAAGTGGCCCAAATCTATCTCTTGTGAAAACCTTTTATTTTGCAAAATGAAAGATGCAAGTAGCTTTTGATTGTTTTGTGGGTTTTTTTTTCTTCTTTGTTTGGTTTTGGTTTTTTTAGATCCCTTCTGTAAAGTGAGAGCGCTCCATGTCCTCCACTGCCTTTGGTTGAAGTATAGCACCAGCAATTTATATGGCTGACTTTTGACCCATCCTTAGTCTGTTGAGATGTGAAGTATTTTAAGTGGAACTAATGATGTGCCCGGTAACATGGCCACAAAATAGCACATGAAGGGAATGTTAGTGACCCACCTTGCAAAGCAACTGCAATTTAACCAGGTTGGGACAAAGCATGGAGAGGACCCAAAGCTGGTCATTGCTTATGACCCCCCCCCAATCTCCGTCTCTTGCACTAAATGTACACAGAGATTCTGAAATATGAAACATGCTACATGTAACCGCTAATAGCATCAAGCTATTAACCAGGGAGAAGGATGTTTTTTTACCTTGGATCTTAGCTGTTGTATTTAATTGAGATTTAGGGGATTGATCAGGATAGTGTCTGACGTCCCATACACGCACATGAGGTTAGTCAGGGAATATGCTTCTTGGGAAATTGAATTAATTGCCTTACAGATAACAATATCTCTGATTTTGCAAAGTAATTTAGCCCTTCTTTTTAACTGTGATTTATCAATGGGATTTAACCCACAAATTAGGCATTCCTTTTTTTTTAACTAGCATACTCTTTGGGCTGTGTTTGAGAAATATTGAGAAAAAAGTAAATTTGAAAGTATGGTAATGTAGGTCACTATTTAATTAAACCATTTCAAAGTTTATATTGAAATGAATAGAAGAGAAGTTGTATTTAAGAACGTACTCCATTTTGATGAGAATAGGTACTCTGTTATTCTTGTTTTGGATGGCATAGAAATGTATTGCTGCTTAATAGGAAATGCAAAACTTGGAATATTTATGCTATGACTCAAATCCCCTGTGTTTTCAGTGAATGAAACCTGGGCAGATTTCCTGAACAACTTCAAGAGGGACATATTAAGCCTTGTTGAAAGAAATGATGTTTGTAAATGTTGAAATTGTGAAATGCCCTGGGAGTAGATGCCTGCAATTTGTGTTGTTTTCTTTCAAGTAAAAAATTGCCATTGAAATACAATAATTGCACATTTTTAATTATAGAGTTAGTCCTGTATTTTAGCTAATACTGCAAATACTTTCTAATGGGCTTAGTGCGTATAATTCAATCTCCTCAGGCAGAATTAAATGACAGCACATGGTGCTAAAGAGTTACAGCAAGGTGTAAAAAATCTCTGGGATGAGGCTTTGGTGTTTGTGCATCCGAGGCACTTAAAGCTGATCATAAGAGTTATACACACTTGATATTGTATCCAGATATCAGTAATGACATTGTAAGACTAAGGCCTTAATCTGTTAGTGTAGTGACTTTCATGCCGCAAGAGCTTTATCTTGATGTGAGTTTTCAGAACGTATTAATTAATTTGAACCTTGTAACTCCATTAATTTTAAGTCTTTAAACTGAGGTCTAGGAAAAGCTCGAAGGGATTATATGCTACTGGAGAGAGAGTGGCTTTGCAGTGTTGTGAAGTATCTTACTGTGTTACCTCCTATTCTGATAGCATAATGCTAATGTCTTCGGTATTTCAGAGAGGTTTAGTTATCAGGTGCATGTAGTCATAGTTTTAATGTGGTCTGTGAAGTGTGGATTCCTTTTGGTTCTGCTGTGTTGGTTCCAGAACAAGGTGATGCATTGAGAGATGCTGCAGAATGGATTGAATTGTCAGGCCCCCTGTCTGCAGGATTTTCTTGGTTTGGTTTGTTTTCCTTTTCTGAAACAAAATTATCTCAAACCGTGTGGTTTGTGCTGGTTCTCATTCCTGGTGGATCTCGTTATCAGATTTCAAACCAGCCTGTAACTGGGAAAGCATTCTACATGTTTGATGCATCCAAGAATAAATAAAAATAAAATCACATTTTGCTTCTTCACTCCCTCTCCCCAACAGGTAGGTTTTCATTCTGAAGGTAATTGATCCATTCAGGAGTAGCTGGAGTGAAAATTGTTTTGGAAGGAAGGAGAACAGAAGTTTTCAAAATAGCACAGGCAGAGATGTAGTGTTTTTACAAATACTACTGTAAAATGAGTATAACAAATACCATGAAGATTTTTTTCTATATGATAGCGGCACACATTCTCAGTAAATACCAGGAAGGAGAGCATTGCCAGATGAAGCTATTATGCTGAAGTTCACAGTAGGCATTTGCTTAGGTTAGGCTTTAATTATGGAGAGACTTTCGGTTGTGAAGTTCCTTTTCAATTTTTACTAGATGTATTTATGTAGATGGAATAATCCTGTCTTCTTGAAATAGAATTATTAAAAAATACTGTGTTAATAATGCAAATTCATCATGTTTTTTAATTTAAGAATCTTGAAGTGCAAATGTCTTTAATTAAAAGAAGGGCAAACTCTGTGTAGAGCACTTAGTTTGCAAAGAATTCAGCATCAGAATTTAGTACTGCTCTTGAGTGCAGTTATCTGGGAGTGAAATGTGTGAAAACAATTGAATACAAACACAACACATTTTTATGGAGAAGTCAGACAATTTAAGAAAACTGGAAATCTTTTAATTATTTTTTTTGCAAAACCTTTCATTAAAATTTGTAAGTGCTTAACTAAACAAAATCTTAATTGAAAGCGTCAGAAGTGATCCGTGGCTGCATTACAATTTTCTTGTTCGTGCATCGTTTCCTTTACCATTTAGTTGGATAAAAACCACTCTTTATCTGACCTACTTGGTTTGGGCAAAAAACGTTCACCCCCTGGTTTCTTTGTGCTCTTTAAGGAGAGAAATTAGTATAGGCCTGGATTGAAAAACATGAGTTTATTGGCTATTTTTTGTCTAAACCAAAATCAGTGTTCTGAACAGGTGGCCACAGGACAGTTCCATGGGTGCAAAAGACTTCATTCCATGTGTACTCTTTTTATGCATGAGTCTGATTTATTAATAAAACATCTTCCTCAAAAGGTGAGAGAAAGGTGTTTTAACTCCTCTAGTAATGGCCTTTTTAAATCCAGATGACTAGTAAAATGGCTGATCCTTAACTTGCATAGATAGAGATAGCAATCTAATCAACCATTATTGTTTCTAATTAATATTATCCAGTATATCTCACTATTCTCACATAGATTTTTGTGTACAGCTTAAACATTTCTCAAGAAAAATGTTAATTGATACGTATTTTGATGAGCGTGCTACTCACTTCATGAATTTATGAAGTCAGTTATAAAACTCACTTTGAATAAATACCTATGAAACCTTTTTACTGTACTACACCTTAAGTCATTTACTACTTACTTAGACAGAGTAGGTTCTCAGCAGGCTCTCTGTGTAGTTTTGCAGAATGGGATGGAATGATTCTGCTTTATGCCAGCTAAGAATCAAAACACATAGCAGTGCAGCAGTCCCACGCTTCAAAGAGGCGAGTTTTTTCCTGAGGAGTCCCAGCCTCTGAGAGCACTGACAGAAACAGACCTTGACTCCCGCTAGGCTTGTGCAGAAGCAGTATGTTGAAATATAAGAAGCTCTTAAATAATCCAGTTTATTGAATAAATTCTTGGGGCTTTCCAGACCTTGATGCCTTCCTCTGAGTCATGGATATATCTTATAAATCTCTTGCGGCCTATGTGGCAACACCAGGACAAACTTGTTTTTAGCAATTTCTAATGGCATAAAAGTTTTTGTGTGCTTTGGAAGCTGTCAGGCAAGTTTGCCCTGTGCTGACCTGAGCTACTTCGCTCTATAATGGTTAAAATTAGGGCTGAGGAGTTCTTCGAGGTGTCAGCAGGCAAGACGAGCCCTCATAACTCAGGAGAGGAGATTTATCTGTTGTATCCTCATCCTGCTCTGCTTATCAAAATGTTTTCAAAGACTCATTCAACGTAAGAATACTTTAAAGGGAAATCGCCTGAGTCTTGGCCCCAAATAGTCTTCCTCAGGGCACTGTAAGATTCATGTCTTTTGAAGTTGACAGTTCTATCAATTTACATCTTCTATTTTACAGTTGCTTTATATTTTGAAGAAGAAAATTCATGATC